TGTTTGTTTGTGTATGTGTGTTTGTTTGTGTATGTGTGTTTGTTTGTGTATGTGTGTTTGTTTGTGCATGTGTGTTTGTTTGTGTGTGTTTGTCTGCGCATGTGTGTTTGTCTGTGTATGTGTGTTTGTTCGTGTATGTGTGTTTGTTTGTGTATGTGTGTTTGTTTGTGTATGTGTGTTTGTTTGTGCATCTGTGTTTGTTTGTGTATGTGTGTTTGTTTGTGTACGTGTGTTTGTTTGTGCATGTGCGTTTACTGTGCATGTGTTTGTTTGTATATGTGTCGGTTTGTATGTGTATTTGTATGTGTGTTTGTTTCCGCTTATTTTTTGTGTGTGTTTGTTTGTGTATGTTTTTATGCGTGTGTTTGCTGATGTGTGTTTGCGTATGTTCTTTTTTGTTTCTTTCTGTGTATGTGTTTGATTATGTATGTGTTTAATTGTATATGTGTACGTGTATGTGTTTGTTTGTGCATGTATGTTTGTTTGTGTATGTGTGTTTGTTTGTGTATGTGTGTTTGTTTGTGTATGTGTGTTTGTTTGTGTGTGTGTGTTTGTTTCTGTGTGTGCGTTTGTTTGTGTGTGTGCGTTTGTTTGTGTATGTGTGTTTGTTTGTGTATGTGTGTTTGTTTGTGTATGTGTGTTTGTTTGTGTATGTGTGCTTGTTTGTGTATGTGTGTTTGTTTGTGTATGTGTGTTTGTTTGTGTATGTGCGTTTGTTTGCGTATGTATGTTTGTTTGTGTATGTGTGTTTGTTTGTGTATGTGTGTTTGTTTGTGTATGTGTGTTTGTTTGTGTATGTGTGTTTGTTTGCGTATGTGTGTTTGTTTGTGTATATGTGTTTGTTTGTGTATGTGTGTTTGTTTGCGTATGTATGTTTGTTTGTGTATGTGTGTTTGTCCGTGTATGTGTGTTTGTTTGTGTATGTATGTTTGTTTGTGTATGTATGTTTGTTTGCGTATGTATGTTTGTTTGTGTGTGTGTGTTTGTTTGTGTATGTGCGTTTGTTTGTGTATGTGTGTTTGTTTGTGTATGTGTGTTTGTTTGTGTATGTGTGTTTGTT